GGGGGGGAGATGAACAGTTAATGCTAGATTATTTTTCTGTAGAGAACACAGGGTACACTGCTGGGAAAAAGTGACATGTGTTGCACAACAGAAGTGGGAACTCTTCACAAAGTTGTCTCCTCCATGTCCCAGAGTAACTCAGTCCAAAGTAAAAATTTCAGAAGTAAGACTTGCAACATTGGTGCAGACAGCAGGATGGATGTGCAGGCAGTGGGCATTCAACACAGAGAGCCTGGGTATGCTAGTATGGAGGTATGGAGCTCCGGGCCTTCCATGACACCTCCAAACCTCCATCTCCTCTTAGAGTCAAAGAGATAGCCTTGAAAAATAAGCTTAAAAACTGACAGCCAAGTGAAACCATTCAAAGGTATCCCTTGTATTGTACTTCAAATGCATTTCATAACTTTTCTAGTCTCTCTTTCTGGAAAGAAAATGAAAACCCCAGAGGAACTTCAGGTTTGTTTATTTAAAATTCGCTTCTTATTACCTTGAGATGTTTGTGCTTTTGTAATTGAGTAATTCAATGTTCTTTTACAGGAAGTAAACATAAGAGAAATTCTTTACAATCCTCCTGAAGATGAGCTGCAGGAGGAATGTTGTTCTTGCTGATTTTTAAATCACTTTTGAGCAAGACTGTAAGGAGCTTTTTTATTTACAGGAAAACAGTGATAAATTTTCTATCTCCTAACTCCTCTGACATTTCTAAAGCTTTTAACCAAGTTAACAGGTCTTGATCTTTTAGTTTTAGTATACAGTCATATAGGCTCAAACAAAATAAACATTGTAGTTACACTATCTTTTAAGGAGTCTCAGATCAGAACTGCTTCTCAAACATGCACTAGTGACAGACCTCATTTTAATTATGCTTTTTTCCTAACTACTCATTTTTCTAACCAAAACAGTTGTGAAAAAAATTCACAAAAGGTGAGTCTTACTCCTACGAACTTTCTCCTAAACATACATTCAACTTTTTTTTTTTAATTAATAAGACAATCCAAAGGAAGACAAAGATTCCTTTTCATCTAATGCAATAACTGAATATTTTCTAAACAACTCCCTTGAAAGTATAAATGTATTTAGTCTTATCAGGTACCTCTTTTTAAAGTAAGTTTTGAAAATAGTTTTGACATACCTGTATTAAGAAGTTAGTTTCATTTTCTTTCATGAAAAGTTCAACGTAAGACTTGATTTTACATATCAAAAGATCGTAACTGAAGCTTTGGAGAAGAGGAACATATGGATCCTTGCTTTTAATTACAGTTGCCAGCTTCACCCTTAAAGGCTAAGAAAAACACAGCTTTATATAACACAAAAATATATCCTGCAATAAGCTTGGCATCTGTGCTAAACACAACACACACAAAGCTAAACATGATGATTATATAGTTTTCTGAATATGCCTATACAGCTTCAAGCTACAGTTTGAAAGGGTTCTAAAACTCCTGGTATTATGCCTAGCTAACTTGATCATTTACTGAGCACATAAAGTAAGTGCAACTTTCCAGAGATCCTCATTTTCATTCCCTTCATAAATAACACTGAATGCAGGGTTGTCAATGGAGCAAACCCACCCAGAATTACTGGGTTCTCTTTTCTCATTTGCTGCCCCAAAAGACTGCCATTGAAAGGGATTATGCAGCACTCGGGAGAAGGACTATTTGCTCCAGTAGCACTAAGGACACATCTATACTGGTAACTGCAACTTCACATTTTGTCTACCAACCACTCTGAATCTTAACGAAACCAATATAGCCAAAAATTAACTTCTGTTGCATTCTTATTTATGATTTTGAATACTATTACCACAGCCTACACTTCCCAAATACCAGAATCCTCCAAATATGAAGAGTAAGTTATACACATGCTACTATTGACATAGAACATGCGTCCTAATGTACCAGAGGAAGACAGAGGCAGCATTTTTGCCTTTTTTTTTTTTTGCCTGTAGTCCTTCTTTTGCTGTCCTTGTCCCCAGCAAAATCAGACATGCCCTAGCTATTATTTTAGAGGTATACACTTGAACTTGCATCTTTCTGAATGATGCAGTCAACATCATACCAGGAGGTGGCCTGACCCACATATGTTATCTTTTTCAGCTAGAGGCATAATAATATCCACTCTGTACTACAGATGCTGATAAGCTTTCCCTCCCTGTGACACGAATCAACAGAGACAACAAATAGAATGCACTGCAATGGTTCAGAAAAAGTCAACATACTGATTATTAAGGAGTTACATGTCTCTACCAGGATGTTTATACTGTCTTTACTCCCAAGTAATCTGCAATATCGAATTCCCAGAATCTGTAGTGACACCTCACTCCTCATATGAGCTGGGAAAGGGGATGAAGTTGGGACTGATGCTGCCCACAGTGAAGAGCAACTGCTGCTAGACGCATTTTACTCCCCCAGCTCACACATTATTTTATCAATCCCATAGCCACAAATTTCCTTTTGTATTTACAAGTGCCACAGGTGTGTAACTGAGTGCACAGGCAGTAATTAGGATGAAGCTATGCAGGTAGCATTTGCTAGCTTTGGAAACCCATATCCCTCTTCTCTGAAAATGAGGGAGCTTAATGCAAGTTAAGCAAGTTACTACCTTATCTGATTCTGAGTCTGTAAAGAGCCTTTCAAGAACTTCAGCAGCCTCCTTGAAATATCCGTTTTCCATATGGACTGCTACAATCTACAACAAATGTAATCGCAAAATATACTGAAATATATTTCACCTGATTCAGAAAAAAAAAAAAAAAAATCAAGAGAAGTCACACTTCTACAGTTTTGCAAGACTTCCAAAATCCTTAGGATTATATATTTAAGGGTTACCAACAATTATCTAGTTATAAGAGTTAGTTCTGAAGTAATATTAAGCCTCACGTATAAAGGTCTAAAACTTCTTCATCAGACATTTAAAAAGAACTCTTGTTGATGCAATATGTCCCACACTTACCTCTAAGTATTGCTTTTGTGTTTCCCAAACTTTCACAGTCCCAGCAGCTGTCAGCCTGTTTTCACACATTTCTCTTTGAAATAATTGTGTGTATTAGAAAACGTCTTATTTTTTTAGAAAAAAGCTATTCATAATGTATTTTAAAAAACAAGATCCTAGTGTTTTAAAATTGATGTCTCAATTGATATAAATTTCTTCCTGATTGGTAGCTTTTGAAACAATTTTGAACTGGGACAAAAAGGAACAAATCTAGATAGGAAAAGATCCCCTGTACAGATCTGTTTACTCTGTACTTGAAAATACAACAAACTTAGAAAATTCAGTTCAGCCTGCTAACAGCCCAGGCTTTTTTTAAAAGGAGCCCTGTTTTAGCAGAATGAATAGGTAGCATCATGAAGCATTTTGAACAAGTCACACAAACCTGAATTTGAATCAAGCGACGAATATCTTCATGAAGCTTTTCCAGTTTAATTTCTTCCCTTTCAAGCAAAGTCCAGAAAGACAGAGCAGACTCCAAAGGTGAAATTCTCTGATCATTTTCAAAATGGCATTCTTGGGGGCAGGGGGAGAAAAAAAGAAAAAGGTATTAAAAAAACTTAAAGAATAAAGCTAAATATATCACATTATTTATACACAATAAAGTAATATGTACTATACATAATTTCAATTCCTTTTTCCTCAAATAATTTTTAGTCTCTCTCTTCAGGTGTGTTTAAGAGACCTGAAGTAACTGCATTCTTTTCAGAGAGGCTGGTTCTTCCTACTCTTGCTAATAACATTACTGTTGCATTTTAAGGGAGATTACATGCCCGCTAATTATTGTTCACTTAAAATGCCTCTTGCAATAGTGCTAAGTTTAGCATCACATATTTGGGCTGGCATTAATAATACTTACACTTCTCTTGGCATCAGATATTAAAACATGTGATATCAATACTGTTAATTTTGTAATATAACCACTATCCTAAGGTGGTTTTTTCCCTGTGTCTGTTTCTATATTTCCGTATGTCTTAAAATTTTTGTTATATCTGAAGGAGATAAACTGAGAGGGAAATTCAAACAGCTTAACACAGGAGCAATCACTGAAAAAGCAGAAGCAACCTCCCACATCATTGTACAGCTGTGCCAACACCAAGGTTTGTGCAAACTCCCAGGAAGCAGGATTGGTGACCAGTTTGGCAGAAATCTAGTCCAGCCAAATAACCGTCCCCTCGACGCTCTAGAAACAGTTTCCCAGTCTGGTCATTGCACACCTGCACAAGTGAGTGGGCCAACATAACAGATGCAGCAGGAGCTGCCGGGTGCACAAGACTGCTTTTTTCCCATGGCACTGCCAGCTTAGCTCAAGACATTCACTGAGCTACAGCCTCACTTGTTCCTTTGTTTTAGTTGACATCATAGCAGAACCTCTCTCAATATCTTCCTGTTCCTTACAGTAAGTATTTTTGAGACAGAAGGTAAACAATTTAAGCAGCACTGAAAAAAAAAATTGATACCTGCTACAGTAAAAGACAAACACTGTAAGTTTAAATATATAACTTCTGTGTTTCTCTAATTATTGTTTCAATCAAGTATTATGACACTTCATATTAAGTTTGTTTTGTTCTAAACCCAGAATGTTTAACTCTAAGAGCTGCCATCTGAAACACCCTACTGTTTTAAGGCTCACTAGAGACTAAACATTTTAATATTTGGAAAAGAATTAGGAAAGCTACCAGACAATACATTAGCTTCCCATGTACACCGTGCAACTACATCTGACACAACACCTGCAAATACATCTGACACAACACCTACTAAGCACATGCTTCCTCACCACACAGGTCATTCATTCTCTACACTAATAGATAAACACACACATTGAAGCCATATTCCCAATATACACAGTAATATAGTTTTAAAACATTATCAGAAAAGTTTCATAATTTGTATACAATGAACTATTTTAAGCAGAATTTGATTCTCAAGTTGAACTAAATCAAGAAGAGTGTTATGACCTGACAAGCAACATAAGAAATCTCATTTCATAAAAACAAGCCTTTGTGGCACTGCTAGGCTAGAACACACTTTTTTCTTCCATGCTAATGCTGGCAAGACCGCTTTTGAAGACCTTAAATTCCAATGAGTTTTATCAAGCAGGGAAAACTTGCAGAAAAAAAGTAAAATCTTCCAGAAACTTGAGTGTGGAAACAAAAATCAGCTTGGCAAACCAGTAAGTTGTAAACACAGCCAAACAGGAGAGATGGTGGTGAGTACGAGTCCCAAGGACCCACTGCCAACTGAAAGTCTTACAGCCTTCTCTAAGAAACAAGGGCAGTCATCCTTTTCATCCATATTCTTACTCCTACTGCCCGTCCTACTTTAACCTCTAGAGCTACATGTGCAGAAATGCACATTCTGTGCTTTAAACTTGCAAACGTTGCTCACGTAAGAGCTAGTCAGTCTTTTCCAGTATATTCCTTTTGTTGATGCTACTCTGACAAGAAAAGACCTATAATTTAAGCAGCACAGTTATTCAAACTCAAAGCCGCCAAATCAGTCAGCACAGACCAACACTGTACACAGCTCAGTCACATGTGGAATACAGACAGTCCAAAATGTAGAATTCAGTCATTTCATTTATATGCAAAGGCTACGCGAAAGCATACCTAATGCACCTCTGTGCAAGTTCACGCAAATCTATTCAAATAACAAGTAAAAACAAAACAAAAAAAGAATCAGAGTATTTACCAAGGTTTCTTCCTTTTGCAATTCTTATCAAAAGCTGACAGAGATATGCTGTTTTTTTCTGATTTGTAGGTATTTTGGAGAGGCCATTAATAAGAGCTGGAAAAGAAAAGTTAAGTCAGTCTTGCTCCAGCACTGCCACAGTGTGGCCAGAAATATACTAGACACTGTTATCGGACTAATAATCTATTAAATGCCTAATTCATTAGGAAATTGCTGAAGTGCATTGTTAATATTCTTCCATGTTGAAAGAACTTAAATCTTACATAAGAATTAGACTAGAAAAACCTATCCATCTCGCAGTTCACAACAGCAACCTAGAAGTGGCAAGATCATCACAGGCTTATAATTAGAAGACCACAGTACCTTACATAAAAAAAAGTTTTGTTTTGCTCAGTAGCTTACTATGAAACACAACACTCTGCTCCAGAGAACATTTCTGCAGAATGCCCACAAAACATGAGCCACATGCAGGCTGGTAACACTCACATTGTTGCTACAGCAACAGACAGACCAAAAGCAGTAAAAGCTACCAGGAGAGCTTAGTCAGAAATGTAAGTCTACAAGAGAAATTCTCCTCACGCTTTTACTGTGAACCTCATATTTTAATTTGCCACATATGGTAATTTGTCTTCACAGCATAATATGGAAACATTCAAAATTAAAAGCAAACAATGTGACGTATATATTTCGGTGCCAGCCTAGCAAAAGCCAGGATTCTGGAGCGTGGGACCCCCAAGTTTTGCAATGACAAAACTAGCGCACATAACACATTGTTTCACTTGGAAGTACTCAGCCTATTTGCTTATTAGTTTATGATCGTCTCCTATGAACAACGGAGAAGCATGGAATTACAGAGTAATTAAATAGCACCGAATGATTAGCTGAGCTAACATCAAGCAGGATACAGTCATGAGGGCTTGGAAGAACACATTTACAACTGCTTCAGGGAGGACAGGCGATACAAGAGCTTTTAGTACCTATAGCCAAAACAGGACATGAAAAAAGAATATTGCTTAGAACAGCAGTAAAGTGCCACATGTTATAATCACAAATTCATGCATCTGCCACAAGAGACAAGAGTCCAGTTTCAGAAACAGTTTGGACGAGTTCAATGACAGAGATAAGCACCACCATCATGCCCTGAAGATGGAGCCAGAGCTTGGAAATTTTGGAAGTAGGCAGAAAAGTGTAGCTAAACGATTCCACAGAACGAAAGGGGTCATCCTGGCAAGTAGCTTGAGATCTTTCAGCTTTCTCTGTTCTTTTAAGGTACATCTACATTAGTGGTTTAATTCAGAGCAGGAGTGAATTTTTAAAGCACACTTCCTGCACTTGGTTTGTACAATGGAACAATGCTGAGCACACAAATTCCTTTAGAGCTATTCCAAAGAAAAAGAAGTGTCCAAAGAAAATTCAGATGTTTACTGTGTGGACACCAGATCCTTAGCAGCAATTACTTGCAATTAATGCAGAAAATCAGAAGAGACACAGCCTTAGTAAACTTTTCTAGACCGTTCTCCTGCCCTGCCCCCAAGGCAGTTCCTCTGTTAATTAATTTGTTAATAGTGCCCTCAATATTGCTTTCCTCCCTATGGCCATTCAAATGATTTCTCCTCTCAGCCTTTCATTAGAAATTCTAGAAACCTCGTAGTCCTTGCCACATAGTTACCTACACAAGCTACTTAGGTATATAGGCCATAACATCCCGTCAAGGCAGGAGGAGGTAGGCAAGGCATGTAACCTTGCCATGCTATCTTTAAATCCTTAATCCTAGGTAACCTACCTATTTCCACTTGGCAGTGTACTGAGCTATGCAAAAACACTATTTATCTCCTAATAAAACAGCCCACCTTGTTCCCTTAACCTTCCTACCTCTCTGCACTTGCTTCGGTTTGAACTGACCTTCTCATTGACAGCCAAGCATCATTTCAGTAGGGTCTCACTTTGACATATGGAAGAGTAATAGTTCTGTATTTCTAAGAAAAAACCCTCACCCACTTTTCTAATGCAGTCTTACGGCTGTACTTAGCTTCTTCCACAGACTTTTACACTTCTGGCTTTGTAATCTTATACCACCACCATGGCCAACTCTTTCCTCTGCTGCTGAGCAGAGCAGGAACAAATTCCAAATTTGCTATTAGTACCCAGTTCCACATGATCTTCTTTCCTGTACAATTTAATTACTTGTTCCTACTAATACGGTCCTCAAAAGTCTTCCTGTTCTTCTCAGGAGATATTCCAATCTGCTTCTGTGTTGAGTGTCTCTGCTTCCCACCTATATCTTTATGGAATTTCAGTACAGTTCTCCCACTGAGTCACTGTCCCAAGGAAGCACCATTAATAATTTAATCTAGCTGCCCCTCGTTCAATGCACTTCAGATTTCTTACCTCTCACAATTCCTCATATCAATATCCTTACTAATTCTGCATGCCATTGTATTCTGTTCTTTGCACAAGTTTAAAGAAGTCATACTATCACATTTACTTCAGTCAAGGACACGCACACACAAAAATAATCCCCAAAAGCTATAACCTGGTATGACCTCTAAAGGACCCTTCCAACCCAAACTATTCAATAATTCTGTGATCTTCAGGAAAACTATTTCTAACAGAAAACCCATCATAAATCCAACAAATTTATCTGAGACCTAGACATTTGCTTCCAGCTGTTAACTATTCTTACTCTTAAGTGTTTCTCATTTTAAATACATGTTCTTCCATCCAAAATACAGTCAACAGCCTTCATTCCACCATTGCCTGCTAGTTCCTCGAAATACTTCTAGTCTTCTACCACAACACTGAACACACACTCAAGAACTCAAGTGTATTTAAATAATTCTACTCTGGTTTTTATGACATTTGCATCTCCACTAAATCCTCTTCAAGTTATCAGTAGCCTTGAACTCTCAGCATCTGAGGCCTTAGTAACTGCTGATGGTATATAAGCAATCATGTTATACATTCAAGCTTCAGAGAATCAAGATGACAGATTAACACTAATGCTCGTATTCACCTAATTATCTGAAAGCCCCCACCCCCTCAGTGACCACTGTTACCCTAGAACAGTTCAGTTCGCTTCCCTCCCTGGTCTCATTCAACCAAAACATTAAAATTCCCCAAAACTGTGATTAACTTACAACACCTCAGCAGAGCTGCCGTTGCACGCTAAACTCAAACACCGGTGGATTAAACAAGCCCATAAAAATTCATCCCGCACTGCTTTATTTTCACCCCGTGCAGAGGTTGCCGACACCCTTACATCGCCCCAACAGCCCGCCCTGTGCTCCGGGAAGCTCCTGCAGCCCTCACAGGAGCCGAACGCCCCCCAACGCCGGGGACCGCGGCCGGCAGGAGGCCGCACGCCCGCACAAAGCAAGGCCTCGGCGGGACAGGAGGCCGAAGCGCCCG